TCCCTTTGTTTGCACGTATGAACGTGTAAAAAAGCGCGGTTACTTAGCGCATTACGTAATTAAAAAATTTTAGTTTACTATCAAAGAACTTTAGGTTTGTCCCTGTAGGCTGGCGTTCACGTTTTTACGGTTCGCCGAAGTCGTTCGTGGGAACAGAGCTGGTAGTGACGTCTTGTGGAGTTCTGTTAAACCACAAAACCTCTGCAACACATTTTATTTGCGTTAGTGTTCTCGTCAAACAAAATATGGAAGTGCTGTGAGTTAGTATTATTGCGATAACAATATGTGGACACTCTCGGCTGGATTTTGCCGCCGGCGTCCGCGTCATGCTCCGCGCGTGCGCGCGCGCACACACACACACACACACACACCACACACACACACACCACACACACACCACACACACACACACACACACCACACACACACACACACACACACACACACACACACACACACCACACACACACCACACACACACACACACACACGCTCACAACACACACACAACACACACACACACGCTCACAACACACACACAACACACACCACGCTCGCGCACGCTCACAAACACACACACACACACACGCTCGCACACACACACACACGCTCGCACACACACACCACACCACACACGCTCGCGCACACACACGCTCGCACACACACACACACACACAACGCTCGCGCACGCTCACAAGCGCACACACACACACACACACACACACACGCTCGCGCACGCTCACAAACACACACACCACACACACACACACCGCTCGCGCACGCTCACAAACACACACACACACACACGCTCGCACACACACCACACACGCTCGCACACACACACACACACACACACGCTCGCGCACACACACGCTCGCACACACCACACACACACACCACGCTCGCGCACGCTCACAAGCGCACACACACACACACACACACACACACGCTCGCGCACGCTCACAAACACAACACACACACACACCACGCTCGCGCACGCTCACAAACACACACACACACACACACGCGCACGCTCAGAAACACACGCACGCGCGCGCGCGCGCACACACACACGCTCGCGCACGCTCACAAACACGCGCACACGCACACACCACACATCTATATATATATAATATATATATATAATATATATATTATATATATTGTAACGGCGAGAAATAAGAGACAACGCCTTTGCTGCAGGCCGGCTGTTCTTATTCTGACTTCGTCTTCTTCGCTTTCCTAACCTAGCCTGCGCCCTTGCCTGAGCCCCACTATTTATTATCATTACACTCGGCCCCGACTGCGAGCCTCGTGGGCTACCGACAATGTCTCCGGTGGGCGGCATTGACTATTCCGGGGTGGCCGGGCTCGGCCAAGCTGATATTTCACATGGAAGTTTGTTGAAGGAGATTCCGGAGGACGACACTGGCTGTGACGTGATGGTCGGTGCAGGCGTCGTCCACGATGGGGCCAACGCTGTTGACTTGGACAAGATGCCGCTAGCAGGAGATACAGACTCCTGCAAAGTGGCCGCGTTGGTTTAATCTCGTCGGTTTGAGCATCCTGTCGCAGCCGTGTTACAAATGCTGGAAATAGTCCACGCTGCACCGTCACCTGCTGCACTGAGCGTCGACGCCTGCGTTGCTTGCGGTGTGGCAAGGGGCGTCGGGGTGTCTTTGTAGTCATCTGAGAGCCGAGTTCAGGTTGCAGCTTGAGAGGCAACGCGTGCTCTTGCAGCACTGCCTTTGTCGGACTCATGCTCAAGCTGTTTATTCCTATAGTTTCACGTGCAGTAGAGCCTTCATTGTCAGATGACCTGTCACTAACCGGAAGTATTACCTTCTCTGGTAGGTCTTTGTTGACAGTGACTTTGAAGGAGGCGGCGCTTAGCGTGTGGCAGACGTCCGCACACTCGGCCACAGACTGACGTGATATCAGGAGATGTCGCTTCGAAGTGAGGGTCAACACTGTAGGGTTGTTCGTCCCAGGGTAGGTGGTTAAATTGGCTGTCGGGAAGCTGCAAAATACAGCTGAAGCCGCGAGGGTGGTCTCCTTCTGGGATCTATTCTCGGTAGCGGTCGCGTAAGACTGGGTGGTCGTGGAGAGGTGATGGTGACTCCGTCCAAAAGCAGCTATGAGCTTGTCACTCCAGTCCACCCAGGACGTCTGCCGCACGCCTTCGTATCGATGCCAAGCCGCGGCAGCATTCCGAAGGCGGTCTATGGCCATGCCCCACTTCTTTTGGTCCGTCCACGCTGCGTGATCTCCGACAGCGTTGACGGTTGCCACCCATTCCTTGGCATCGTCCTGGAAGCCGCGAAACTCCGGTAGCTCGAAGGAAATCGGCGATGGCGGGACTGCGGGCAAAACTCCGAGATGTGCCCACGCCAAGCAGTTCACTTGCTCTGATACCTCCGTGAGAGAACGCCCGAGATTGCGACGGTTCTCGGGCGAGCTTACCTCGAAGTTTTGTGAGGCGGCCGCAGCCAACATGGCATTGAGTGCGCACAATGTTGGCAAGATGGCAGGACATAGCTGGGAGCTCGACGCTATGAGGGCGTTGGTCGTGACGCGGAGTTGCGCGATGGTATGCTGCAGCTCCGCTGCGCTGTCGTGTGATCCGCACGAAGAGCCAAGGCCCGCCTCTGCGGAGGATACAGTGACTGCGGTACTCGAGGTGGTACAATTGCTGACCAAGGACGCGTGGACGGCGTCCCTTGGAAATCCAGCTGTGGTAGGAATCGTGGACATGGGTTCCAGGGCGCTGGAAGCGTCAACGACGTTCCCAGGCAAGCGGAACCCGTGTGATGAGTTGTGACCTGGTACTGTGGCGTAGATGAAGCGGTCTTGCGCCGCCGGGTAGGCCTCGACGCCGTACACGGTGGGTGCTTGAAGCGCCGACAGGTTGCCAGGTATGGAGGAGGCATGTACGCCATCCCTAGGTGAGAGAGGCCCGTGCGCATGGTTGCCGCGACGTGTCGCGTCCCAGGACAAGTTTCCCGGAGCCACAACGGAGGCCTGGACGCCATCCGTCGGTGCTGGGATCGATGCTGGCCGCGACGGACGCCTTGCGGGTTCCATCAGCGAAGAAGCGTGACGGCGTTCCTTATCGTGAAACTGGTACCGGTAACGGGTGCTGGAGCCGCCGAGGAGGCCTTGACGCCGTCCCCGAACGGTGGTGTCAGTAAACAGCTGCCGAGGAGGCCTTGACGCCGTCCTCAAGCGACGCTTACCGCGGCTGCACGTCGGCGGGCGTTCTGGATGACGAAACCGAGACGTAAGCCGTTTTCTTCGTCGACTGCGCCATTGTAACGGCGAGAAATAAGAGACAACGCCTTTGCTGCAGGCCGGCTGTTCTTATTCTGACTTCGTCTTCTTCGGCTTTCCTAACCTAGCCTGCGCCCTTGCCTGAGCCCCACTATTTATTATCATTACAATATATATATATATATATATATATATATATAGGGAAATAGGTGTATACCTAAGGGCTCGTTTTTTTGTGTTTGACACAATATTAGTGAGATCTAACAGACAATATTGCCAAGGAATGTATAGGGGAAGGTATTAGAACAAATGTAATGTAAATAAGAAGAAAGAAAAGGGGGTGAAATAATAACCTACCTACTCCTACTCATGGTAGGTTATTCTTTCGCGCACTTTTCTTTCTTATTATTTACATTACATTTGTTCTAATAACTTCCCCTATACATTCCTTGGTATTATTGTCTGTTAGATCTCATTTATATATATATATATATATATATATATATATATATATATATATACGTGGGACCTCCACGTCGAGGCATTAACTAATTCGAGGCATTAACCACTGAGCTACCGAGGGGTACCTCCTTCAACGTTCAAACGGCAAGCTATTGATATCTGCCACTTACTGCTGTTGGTGGGCATTGTGTGTGTGTGGTGGTGGGGGGGAGTATCGTGTTTTCAGCATTATCAGCAAGATAACGCAATAAGCGCGCGGCGGCTCTCATCTCTCACGCGTACTTTCGCCCGTGGAGAGGAGGAAAGAGGATGATCTCTCGCGCGCCCTTATCTCCCCGTGGGGAGGGTCATACGTCTTGGCTGGCGTTGGGCTTGCACTGGAACGATTCTGTTGTAGTTACGGGTCGCACAAAGGTCACTGCAGTCGTTGCACAGCCTCCGTTTGCGAAAAGAGTGCGCTTCTCATACACAGCGAAGTAACAACTGAGACGCTTATTCGCATTCATTTGTACCTTTCAGTACGTTTCGTGCGTCATTTGTGCGTGAAAAACGCGGTACACATTTCGATCTGCTTGCCATTCTGTGCGTGGCCTTCGAAATTGTTTCTATCGCGTTCGTTGTTTCGCCTGTAAAGCCGTGACTTTTGATTTAGAGTTGACAATGTTGCACACTAGCCGTTAGGTAAAGCGTCTCTCATGATCGTATTGTAGTTTTGGGATGTTAAACCCCACATATCAATCAATCAATCAATCAATAAATCAATCAATCAATCAATCAATCAGGTAAAGCGTGGATGTCGCTACCAGCTTTGGCCGTCGCGTACACGTCACCAGAAAACCGTGATAATGTCAACTTTTAGAAACCTACGCGGAAAGTAAAATTCTCTGTTGTACTATTGCTCTCAATGTAGCCCCGTTTCTTGAAATGACAATGTGGTTTACTTTAAAGATATATTCCCTCTTGCTTCTCGTTTGTGCGCCTTTTCGCTCCACCTCCTCCCAAGGGTATGTATGATGAACGACGCCATGTCTGTGGATTAATTTGTCCAGACTAGTTTCTTACTAACTGACCTAACTTTAAATTCATGGAGCGAAAATAAAAATGAAAAGTAATATGGGTGTTAGAATCGACCTGTTTCAACAGGTTGATGCCAACAGGTGTTGGTTTAAGGAACTACACTAACAATCTCTTTTTATCCACAGCCTCTATTAATGACGCTTGCTGTTTTCCTGAGGCAACGCCTAAGCGTTTTTTTTATGTACTTTCAGGCTTTTCCCCAGGCGAGATCGCAGTCAGCGAAAGACATCAAAGGTATGTGTTGCCTCGCCACTTTGTACTTTCGGCTCTGCCTTTTCTTTCTAATTTCGCGCTTATATTTTAGTAAAGTGGGTGTGGCTCACCCCCCACAGTTACTTGTCGCACAAACCACCGTGTCTGCGTGACTCTTCGTCACGGCCCATTTTCGCGAAATCGCTAGCAGCTGAAGAAGACGCGGGCCTGGCCGTGTTTTACTGTTGAAACTCCACGAAGAACATCAGCCATGAATACTATATGGACGCAGTATCAACATGCGCCATCGCTTTTCCGCATCGTTGGCCGGGTCCTAAAAATCTTGGGTGCGTTTTCTTCGTTTTTATAGTGGTTGGTGCGTGGTGGTTGTTACTGCCTCTCCGAATAGCTTTTCAGTGGTTGCTAGGTTTACTTGGAGTCGTCGACGAAATCACAGTATATCAGTAAGCTAAAATCAAAATGTCTCGAATAATATCTGAACACTACTTCGTTCTTATTTTGATCTATTCTATATCCCAAGTTTCATTAACGCAATTGCAATGTTTGCTTTTTGAGTCAGCTTCTCCTTCATATATGTCGTAGTGAGGAATTGCACCTTCCGCAGGAGATTTTGCGTCGGTTTTGTTTCTACGCATTACCTATCCTCATAACTCGAACGTATGAATGAATGTCTTTCCATTCATTCCTAACTAAAGCGTGTGTAAGCTGAAAGGATATTGCCTCGAATAATATCTGAACACTACCTCGCTCTTATTTTGATCCATATCTCAAGTTTTTATAAACACAATTTCAATTTTTGCTTTTTGAGTCAGCTTCTCCTTCATATGAGTCGTAGTGGGGAAATGCATCCTTCGCAGGAGATTTTGCGTAGGATCTGTTTCTGTGCAACACCTATCCTCATAACTAAAACGTATCAATAAAGTTACCTTCATTCATTCCTAACTAAAACGTTTGTATTTAAGCAACCGGAAAGCTTCGATAATTACTCGGAGGTTCAAAATCAACTGTGGAAAAATTCAAACATTAGGCTGATCACAGGCGCCTTGTTGGCCGACACCGTTTCAAGCTAGTTGTGATGTGTGACTGCCAGCGTTGTTTTAAAATCTATACAAAGGGTTAATTTGGTGCAGCGACGTCGTTTTGTAGAGTCTCTGTCTTGACGCTAGTGCTTGTGCGATCACAGCAGCATGACGAAAATGAAGGTGATCGTGTGACGCCGACGTACTGGTTGTTCGAGTGCAGTTAACATCATCGAATTGTGTTGGTGACGTAATGAATAAGCAAGAGGCTGACAAGGTGACGAGATCTGCACAAAGTTGACGTCTAAATGAGTGTTGCATTTATGCAGGCATTGAAGTCAGGCAGCTTTGAGTCCTGAACTGCATTTAAATTGAAAACATAGAGTTTGCGAGATGTCTTCATTTGTTTCAAGTAAGCAGAGGAGAAATTCCTTGAGAACGGATGTGCGTGGCATTCCCGGCATGAAAAATTTCTAAGTTTCGAGAAGTCAAGGTTTTGATACAAAACCACATTGCGTACAAGCTAATGCATTGACGTATTGAAGACAACGCTATGAAGGTAATGAAGGGTTCTGCTGGCAGACATTTATCCGCGCACATCTCCGTAGTGGCTGTCATTTTATGTTTGATCAGTGCCGGATATTAAAGTGCTATGCGGAATGAACTATGAGCGCGTGAAATATACGAGGCCTATAGAATTGACGGGAAAGGTGATATGTGTGTGAATGTGGCGTTTACAGCGCTTCCCACCATGGGACATGTATTTTTTCGTTTTTATGATAATCACATGTCGATTGCATACAATTGTTAATTTTGTCACTGTTATCTTCTCTATCGAACCCCTTCATGGTTCATGTGCGTGTATATATACATCCTTGTATACAGAATGAAGCTTTGGTTAAGCGGAATGGTGAGTTGGGCAATTTGGTGTATATTCATTGTGGAATATCTTACAGCGCAGTGGGCTAGATACGCACAAAAAAGGGACAGGCTGATACCTACAACTAAATTTTTTCGAAGAAAAATAACATATATAGCGATGTGTTCCTTCTCTGCGGTGAAAGACTTGATTGCAAAAGTGAGAGCTTGGTACGTCTCCGTCATTGTTTTGTGTTTCGCGCTGCTTCCCGTTTTTTTTTAAGGTGTCAGGCTTTCGGCGTTGAATGTTTGTTGAATGTTATATCGTTTTGTTTTAATTTTAAGGAGAACGTGTTTATATTGCGCTTTCCTCAACTCTTGTAAAGTCGTTCATCTCTTGATAAGGTAAATTTCTTGCCCGTCCGTGTTCACATTGCGGTTATCAGGCATCGATTTTTCCTCGAGTCGTTATTCATATTTGTATGCCGGCTGCTGCATTATTACGCAAGCTCCGAGATACGAGCCGGGCCAAAGGGCGGCTGAGTACCGTCCGGTGCTGTGCACCAATACTCGGCAGTTGTGGGGGGCGTGAGGGTCCCACTGGGGTTATTCATACGAGCGGAGCGACAAGACGCGCATTGGGTCACAGTGTGCAAGGCGTCTATGCATTATGTATGTCGACACATGTCTCTTTCCGGCTTGGAGCGATGCGATGAGAGCGTTGTAGCATTTGCCAGATTCCGCGGGCGTGAGCCGTTGTTGCACGTGAGAGAAACGCAATGAGCGCCTTCCTTGTCGCGCGCGCTGTGTCCACGCGTGCTCCAACCGGGCGGCCTCGCTTTTTTTGTGTGTGTGTGTGACAACTTGCCTACCGCTTCTCTTTAGCTTCTAGTTCCGTGCATGCTTGGGCACTGTTTGTTTTTGTCGTGCGTCGTGTTCCACTTTGGGCGTTTCTTCCTTCCTGTTTTCTCCGGGGTCCGCGCGAAAGGCAGGGTTTCCGCGCGCTGACAATATGACACGGCTTCACATTTTTTTTTTGCTTTAGAGACAGCGGATTGTCATGATTTCAACACGCTCGTCGTATTTGCTCCCGTTCAGACCCGCCACGGTGTTTTATAGGGGTTATGGTTTCGACTGCTCACCCGCAGGTGGCGGGATGCAACGCCGGCCGCCCTGGCCGAATTTTTCGGTGGAGCTGAAAATGCTCGGGGCTCTTGTACTTAGATTTAGGTGCGCTTTAAAGAAGCCTACGGGCTGGAAATTTTTGGAGCCCTCCAGTACGGCGTCTCTCATAATATCATCTTGGTTTGAAGCGTCAAAGCCCAATTATAGTTAGTGCTCCCTTCCATTAATATATTCGGATAAATATTATTGCATGCATATTTTTGTGGATGGATGGCGAGGTATCAGTATTTCCGAACAATCTGATTAAGGCATACCTCACTTTATTGCGATACATTGTTTAGGGAAAAGAACTGTGTGGTCGGCACTCCACTTTTATTGGCACATCAAGAGTTCTTCTTTAGAAATTGAAAGATGCACTTGGTAGAGACGAGATGGCCTACGCAGCTGTTCATTTCTGCGAAAGAATACACCGCAGGTTTCTTTCCCCAGTAGCCAAATTCACACGCTTTCTACGATGGCTGAATTTGAATTTTTCATTTCACTACACTTCCACATACATTGGGGCGTAGCAAGTATTCGAATTTATATATATATATATATATATATATATATATATATATATATATATATATATATATATATATATATATATATATATTTAATGGATAGAGTATGTGTTCGCGTTTGTTTATATTCAGGAGCCGCCGGTGATCGATCAAAATTCTCATTACGCGAGATACATGGTAATATTAATATTGAGAGGCTCAACTCGAGCATCGTTCTCTTCCGTAACCAATTATTTTTAGCAAAACATATGGGACCATATTTGACAGGTTCCCATAAACAGAGATAATATCAACATTTCTTCGTGTGTATTCTCTATAGTGATTAGGGTAGTGTGGAGCTTTGTTGTTGTTGCTTTCCAGGGCACCGCAGTGTGCCGCGTTTTCAGCGCGTGCGTGTTCATTTGGCGCTTCATGGTGTCAGCAGTACTTGCGAGAGATGAGAACAGAGAGATTGATCGGGCGAGTCTCCCACCCGGTAATCTCTGGACGCTGTCGTCGGCATGCTTGATGGACGATGTTGTCTCTGGGTAAACACATGGTTGCCTGATCTTCAAACGGAAAACTCTAGTCCCGACGCTGCGATTGAGCCGCGTAGTTCAAAGCGGTACTTCACCGGTTTTTGATGCGGCCTTGGGGAAAGGATGAAGGCGGAAACACTCGCAAAGACAGAGCGTGAACCGGCGTTCTGTGAACCTTCCATCTGCAACTGCTGTCGTGTTGCCTTTTACACACGCCGCTAGGCCACAGAGTGCCTGCCCCAGGGGAGTTAGTTCGGAAAGAGATTTGTCAGTAACCAAGCCACTGAGGGAGCGGGAGAAGTCACATTTTTGTTTATATTTAACTATTGTGATACCTACACCTTTAAACTTGTTTAACAATGTGGCGATTTTTTTTTACAAATAAAGGCAAATCCTTGCCGAACTTTAGTTAATAGTTCTGAGAGCGCAGAAAGTTGATCACGTTAGTGAGCGTTGATCATAATAATAAAGTAACGAAAAAGCCTGGAGAACGGACACTCGAGGACAGACCAATTTCTATTATCAGTACCTTTATATAAATAATTAACTTTCCTGATGATCAATAGTATTCATTCCAGCAAATCCCGTGAATGTTCGTGGTGCACAAATACTATTGGCACTCAAAATGTATTTAAAAAAGCGTTGAAGCGCCTTTATAATTGAAATAGTCTTATTAAGAGATGCGTAATAAACATTAACTGTAATGTGTGGTCGCCCGCTCCGGACTCCTGAGGTCGTTTGAACGTTCGTAACCTGCTAATAAAATATCGTACATTATTAATTTATAAGCTACTCAGCATGCGTAGCAATACAACTGCAATATAATCGTTGCTTGGAACATCGCTTTATAAGTGTCAAAAAAAGAAAAGAAAAAAAATGTACGAGAAAACGTTACGCGTTCTCTAAGTTAGAAAGTTGTTCTGAAAATTGCTTCG